ATCAAAAAAATGAAATGAAATAATTTGAGTTTTTAACAAAAATCAGATGGTACTGGCAAAAAATAAATTAATTTCCCAATTTTTTTTTTTAGAAGAATGACAAGCAGATGGGGCATCAATGTCCCAAGCAGAAGGGATGTACCTTTCAATATGCTGTGGTCAAGGAAAATTTTTGTTCCCACGGGTAGGAATACCCTGGACTCTTCAACAACAGCGGTGAGTTAGCTCAAGGTTGATATTTAAAGGAAAAACCAAAAACATAAAAAGTACTAACTTAATTATAAAATTAAGTATCACACTATCACAAATAAAATTTTAATCAACATTCAAGGTTAGGTATAAAGGCAACCCCTTTATTGAGTGGGAATCATAATAATTACCTTTGCAATTGAATTCTCAATTCAGTAATAGGATGTGTACCTTTAGAAACACCAATATTGTTTGACATAACTTTAACTTTTGGACTATGATAATGGTCTATGATAATGGCCACTTCTAATTTTAATTTTGTTATGGTTATCAAAATTGTCAAATTTTTATTTAAATTTGATTATTAAAATTGTTAATAATTAATAAAATTATTATCATTTATTATTTAATATATTAAAATCAATTTATAAATAGATCATTTTAAATATTGTGACTAACCGTTTAAAAAATTTATAAACTGATAAAATTGTAGTTAAAATTAATAAACTTAATTTTTGTAGAATTATTTTTAGGTAAAGTTTCTACAGAAGTGTTAAATTATGAATTTGCATAAAATAATATAAATAACTTTAGTGATTAATAAAATTATCAAATTCATCATATACTTAACCACAAATGTTATATTTCAAATTTATAACTTAAATATATAAGAAATTACTCAAATGACTGCATCATCCACCCAGACTCCTAACATGAACAGTATTGTTAAGATCATAGCAGCCACTGCATTTCCAACTCCTTAGACCACCTGCACTTGCCTTCAGAATGTTTTTAGTACCAGCAGCAAGTCATCAGAGCTCAATTTCACCCCACCTTCCTTCGGCAACTGGTACCACGAACTTCAACTCTTAAGTCCCTTCCAAAAGCAGCAATTCTGTCCAACCTTTCAAGACACAATGCACAAGATATTTATGGACAAGAGCATCTCACCTTAAATTACTTATATTGTTTTAAAGTAAGGTAGTCTTGAATAGGAGATCTCATCCACATTATTGGTATAAGAAGCATGGAGTAGAAAGAAAAAAAAGTGTTACTGCTAAGACAATCCACAGGCATACATGGAGAAACAAATGATGGCATGTCTTACAAAAGAACTGGAATTAACAGAAACAAAAAAAGAAGATTCAACAAAAGAGAAATATGGAGAAAACTAGACAATAACAACACTAAATTCCTGTAAGACTCTTGGTAACACCAGCAACTCTTTAGTGATCTCAGATTTTTCTTCACAGTTTTTCCCAGTATGAATTTTCATGCTCTCTAGACCTCTTGCACCTTTCAGAAAATACTTGACCATCTCCACTTGATTTACATTGCCTTCAAATGAAAAAATTACAATTCTTTTTTTCAAACGAGATGGAACAAATACAAAACTCTTTTGCCATTATGTTAGAGAAATGCGAGATGGCAAAAAAGTAAATCAAATGTAGAGTAACATTATGTTAGACTTAGACCAACAAAAGATAGATGGAGAAACTAGACAATCATACTCCCAAACCTCCTGATTTCGGAGTATGGAATTCCAACCCACCCTAGTGAACTTCATTTTGCCGTCTGTTTGCCCAACACATAAAGGATTGTTGCCACTTCCTTAACTAATTTGCAACCACTTTCCCAGATAATAAACAGGATTTCACTAGAGGACAAGGCTGATCTGAAGGTGCTGAGAATAGGAGGTAATATATAGGTAAGTCTTATAAATGAGAATTCAAACTGAAGCCAGCAAAAGAATGATGGAGAACCTAGACAATCATGACTTGGCATTTTTCTGAGACTCTCAGCAATATCATTAACTCTTTGGTGATCTTCAATCGTTTTTCATTTTCTGCACTAATATGAATTGTCAAGTTCTCTAGAACTCTTGCACTTTTCAGAAAATACTCCACCATTTTCATACAATCTTCATCACCTTCAAATGAGAAAATTTCAATTGCTTTTAGGCGAAGCAATAAACAATTGTCTCTAGATGCCTCTAGCAAGTACCAGGTATCTCGATTCCATTTACATGGAGGCTCCTGATCAGAAAATTAGAATAACAATCATATAAAATGCTACCTTTGGCAAGAGGGAATTTTAATCCATACCCATTTCTTACCTCCAAAACAAGGGTCTCTAAAGCATCACAATATGTAAGAAAATATAGTAATCCTTTCAAGCCATATGTTTCATCACAACGGAAAATTCTCAAAATAGTCATATTTTGCAGCAATGGGATTGGAACACTGGCAGCTTGGAGATCCTGCAAAAGAAAAGGAAGATGCAGATAGCTGCAAAGTTTTGGCAATAGGAAACTTAACAACATAAAGAAATTAAGCAATTCATAATTAATTGTTACTCTCTGTAGGAAGATGCTGTTAGAAACCTACGACAAGAGTCTCGCCAGATATATGAAGTGTCTGAATGTTGCTTATCCCTTTCATTACATCTGTTGCACTGTGGAGATAATGACTCGAATAACCAAGAAATTCTTCAAAATCAATGTAAGCTTCGGTAAGAGACTGCACATTTACAAATGCATGAGAATTTACTTCACAGCCCACATATTTCAAGTACACAAGATTTGGGGCATTAATGACAACATCAAAAGAGCTAAACCCCCCCAAAACACACATGAATTCCATGGTCAGCCTCTTAAGTGTAGGGCTAGAAACATGAATTTTGCATTTGTAGTCATCCCATTCGTAATAACTCTGCACAACCAAATCCTCCAGAATGGGGCAGTTAAGGAACAGTCTTTCAGAGGAATCAACATTCAAGAAGGATATAACATTTGCAAGGTGAAGAACCTTGAGATTTGGCAAGAAAACTTCAGCAGGGACCTCCAAACCAGGTTCAGTACGCATATTCAGTTTCAAAACCGCCAATGTGTTACAAGTAAATAAACTAGCTGGCAGTAACAGTTGACACAACCCATAATTGTATAAATCTAGTTCTCGAACCCCACGCTGCATTGCAGCAAGTATCCATCCTTCAAGGCGCAAAGGGTCAATAGCGTCCAAGTAGCAGAGACGAAATTTATCCATTGGTGATCTGTCACGGTAATGGAACATTCTATCCACAAAGTTCATGACACCAACCCTATCCGCGGTCTTAAATCCCCAAAAATCAATGTCAAACTGAGAAATTGAAGCATAGAGATACCTCCACCTTGTTGAAAGTACAGAGGTGCGAACTGCATCTTTAGTAGGAAGTAATGATAGGATGTGCAGAAGAACTTCATTTGGCAATTCATGGATATTGCTACCCATGCCGCAAGTTTCAATTTTTAAGTAAATTAACAAAATTCTCACTTACAATCTCACCCTGAAACATAAGAACCACTAATCATTCTACTAATTAAGTTCGAGAAGAAGCATAAATTTAAAGGGGTATATTGAGAAAGAAAAATGAAAAAACCATGCTGAAAAACACAAAACGAAATAACAGGAAAACTGGAAAAATAAAAAATCACCTGTCAACAATGTGTTGCCTTCCTGATTGCGTCTCGCGATGAAATCTTGAGGTGTCTTTATGGACTTCTAATGTTTAGATCAGAGTACAACGATAACAAGGGAGGGATAATTGGTAACATTCGGACTTTAATTTTTAATTAAGACTCAGCAGCCTAGGGAGGGCTTTTTTTTTTTTTTTTTTTAATAAATAATTTGTTCCATTTCACGTTTACCCTTTGGTTTTTAAGTTATTGCCAAATTGGCATCCAATCTTCAGAATCCTTACCGATACCGGAGAGCAGCTATAGCTCCTTTGCTTTGCTAATTTTCATTTCCATAGTTCAGGACTGAAGACTCGCTCGTTTCCCTACTCAGACCATTTCCGGCTATATTGTGATTAAAGAAGAAGAGAGAATAAGGGACAAGCAAACTCTTTTCTGGTTCTGGAGGAGGAGCAGGTTACATCCACAAGTTGATTAGAGAAATCAGACCAAAGTGCAGAATCAAACACTTGGTCCCGGTATTACCTTCATTTGTAAGTATTTTAGTGTATGGAATTCTGGGTTTGAGTCTATAGAGAGGGGAAGAACGAGATTAACTCTGGTTTTAATTGAAATGAAATTGTTCATCCTTCCTTACCTTTACTTGATTTTTTTCGAGCTTTGCATGATGTGGGTTAATCTTAGTTATGCATTTTGCCCTGCAAAATCACTGCTTTTGCTCGGATAATAGACAACTTTTGCAAGACACACGTCATGTTCGATGAAAGTACTCAGTGTGAAGTTATCAATGAAAATCCAATCCTACTGCTTGCATTTGGCATTTGAAAGTCCGTATAAGTGTGGACTATGGATTGGTTTTAAATTTTAATAGTCTTCTTTAGCAATTGATAATTTGCAATTGAAGTTAGTAATTTTGGGTTTCTTGCGTATTGTTTCCTACGATTATGAAAACAAGTTTCTCCCCTTATTGTTTGCCAGATAAATGCTCCAGGCAGCAACAGCAGCAACTTCTTTATGGAATCCATCTCAGAGGGGTAAATTTCTCTTCAAGATATTTAATTCACCCAAACTTTTTTGTTTGTAGTTGGTTTTGCAAGAATGTTCCCAGGGGTGCCTATTCCTCATTCTTGCTGCAATATGAGGGGACTCACTTGCGCTATTAAGCTATTTCAAATGACATTAATACTAGGACCAAAAGAAAGCAAAAAGCATGCTCAAAAAAAAGAAAAGAAATTCATATTCATATTGTTTCCATTTTGCAGGTGCTTTTCCCGGAATTACAGAGTTCAAGAGGTCTCAAGTCCCCAGCTTAGGTTCATATCCTCTTAATTTGAAGGTAAATTCCTCCTGTCAAGTGTGTATTTGTTTGTTGTTTTATTTTATTGATGAGTAATTTGGAAGTCAATTATATCAGTAATTTACTCACACATGTGGCAGGGAGATTTAACTGTATATTCCACCCAACCCAGTACAAAGTAGTCATTATGTAGTTATGTTCCACTGAGTGGGTTCCTCAGAGGGCTCAGATGGATGAACTGAAAATTTTACACCTAACAGTTTTGCTAAATTGGCAATCCCAAGGCCCACACTCTTGTACCGATGTACTTGTGAGCTTGTGAGCTTGTGAGCTTGTGAGCTTGTGAGCTTGAGGCTTTAAACATGCACCAGGATAATATCCCTTAAGTGATCTTATAATAGATTAACTAAAAATGATAAACTTATAAAGCATCTCAGAAATTTTTGATTGCCTAATGGTTGTTGCTGCCAATAGTGACCAGGTTTGTGACATAGAAGTTAAAAATTTTCCAAAAAGGGATTTTAAGTTCCTTCCATATGACCATTGTGCACGTGTCCCAGCAAATTTTAAGGTTTCTTTACATGATAGTTATGTGTTCATTTGTTAACACTTTGTTGTCATTAGGCAGCTACTTTTTTTTTTAAAGCCAAAAATGGCATGATTAGTTTTGGCCTTTTGGGTCTGCATGAAGTCATCATTAATCATAGTTGTACTTAACAACACAATTCTCCAATTTCTGTTGATAACAATAGTTGGGATTAGTTTTTCTGGAGACTGACTCTGTGATGCTACTTGTAGTTTGAGCACAAATGGCTTCTGAAAGGTAGGCCATTAATTGCAGGAACCTTCCTTTGTGCCCATCATAGGCCCAGAGAAGATCCAAAGGACAGGAAGCATGGGGTACCCCAAAACGTGGATCTTCCACCTGTTCTTCCTAAGAATAAGAAGAAACCTTATCCCATTCCTTTTAAGAAGATCTTGCAGGCTGCAAGAAAGCGGAAGAAACTTGCTGAGCAGGGCATAGAGATGCCGCTTGAGCCTCCAAAAAATGGATTGCTTGTTCCTGATCTGATTCCTGTGGCATATGAGGTGCTAGATGCCTGGAAGATTTTGATTAAGGGACTTGCTCAGCTCCTGCATGTGATTCCTGTATATGGTTGCAGGTAATTCTGTCTTAATTTACATCTCTGATGTTGTTATGTTGTGCCCCATTAGCGCTGCAGTGAATTATACCATGGGGTGCTTCCAACTTCAAAACTATACAGTTATTTTAGCTTTTCTGCAGTGAGTGCTCTGGAGTTCATGTGGCCCAGACTGGTCACCGCATTCAGGACTGCCAGGGCTCAACAAGTGCCAAGCGTAGAAGTTTCCATTCTTGGGTTAAGGGTTCCATCAATGATGTGCTAATCCCCATCGAGTCATACCACCTCTATGACCCTTTTGGCAGGCGCATCATGCATGAGACACGGTTCGACTATGACAGGATTCCAGCTGTCATAGAGCTTTGTCTTCAAGCTGGTGTTGACATACCAGAGTATCCTTCACGCCGAAGAACCAAACCGATCAGAATGATTGGAAAGAAAATTATTGATCGAGGTGGCTATGTCGAGGAGCCTAAGCCATGGCGTTCAGTGGATTTCTCTTCATCGTCACTTGTTGATCTTGAAACATGTGGGGCTTCTATGCGACATCCACCTCCTCCATTGGAAGATGTACCTAGGATTGCACAGGAGACAATGAATGCATACGAGATTGTTAGGTCAGGTGTGACAAAGTTGATGAAGAAATATACTGTTAAAGCTTGTGGATATTGTTCTGAGGTTCATGTTGGGCCATGGGGTCACAATGCTAAGCTTTGTGGGGAATTCAAGCACCAGTGGAGGGATGGGAAGCATGGTTGGCAGGATGCTACCATAGATGAAGTTTTCCCCCCAAATTATGTCTGGCATGTTCGAGATCCAAAGGGACCTCCATTGAGAAGTGCACTAAAGAGGTATTACGGCAAGGCTCCAGCTGTGGTTGAACTGTGCATACAAGCTGGAGCAAAAATCCCTGAGAAATACAAGCCTATGATGAGGCTTGACATCATAGTCCCTGAAAGTGAAGAGGCAAGTCTCGTAGCGTAGACTTATTCCCTGAAGGTAAGAGCTGCCCATTTTTATGCTGGATTTTTTGAGCCATCAGTTGTTGCAAGCCAAACCGCCAAAAGACTTGTTTGGTGGGTGGACACCAAACAAGGTTTTCTTTTAAAGTCTGTTAACCTTGTTGCAAAAATGAAACCAAGATTGTCTGTACCTTTTTTTTTTTGGTAATAAGATTGTCTGTACTTGGAACAAGAAAATCAACTTATTACAGTTCTCCCAAAAACGGCATTCTGTCAATATTTTCATGGTGTGAAATTTAACATATCAACAAATAATTTATTGTCTTTCTCTCTCCTCTTTTTTATTATTATTATTTTTTTTTTTTTGAATTTCAATAAAAAAAATTTTTCCTTTTTTGCATTAAATATAGGTCTTTTAACTTTTGAGAGAATTCCCCCAATATTAATTTAATTTCTGGACGAAGTTGGCTAAAGGTTGACTAAAAATATTATAATCTTCTCACCGCCTCTTTCACTCTCTTTTCCCAGCTTGGACTCGAAGTCTCGACTCTATATAATTATAAACTCCCTTCAACTTTCCTCACGCTCATTGCTTCTGAGTTCTTCCTTCTGTTTCTACTCTTAACTGCTGCTGCTTCCATGGCTATTTCTCTTAAAAGAAAAGGTGAAGACCAAGAAACCATACCGGAACCCAAAAGAAGAGCCCCAAACCGCCTTCTTGTAGACGAAGCTACCAACGATGATAACTCTGTTGTCTCACTCAACCCCAAGACCATGGAGCTTCTCCAGATTTTCCATGGAGACGCGGTTCTGCTCAAGGGGAAGAAAAGGAGGAGCACAGTTTGCACTGCCTTCCCCAGTGAGACGGTGGAGGAGCATCAGCTTCATATGAACAAAGTGATAAGATCCAATTTGAAAGTCAGGCTCGGCGACATCGTCACCGTCCAGCTTCTTCCCGAGATTAAATCTGCCAAGAGGGTTCACATTCTGCCACTTGATGATACGGTTGAAGGAATCACCGGAAACCTTTTCGATGCCTATCTCAAGCCTTACTTTCTCGAGAACTACCGTCCGGTGAAAAAAGGCGACCTCTTTATTGTCAAGGGAGGGATGAGAAGTGTGGAGTTCAAGGTCTTGGAGACCGATCCTGAAGAATACTGTGTGGTGACACCGGAAACTGAGATTTTTTGGGAAGGGGAGACTATTAAGAGGGAAGATGAGGAAAGACTTGACGGTGTGGGGTATGATGACATTGGCGGTGTCAGGAAACAATTAGCTCAAATTCGTGAGTTGGTGGAGCTTCCCCTCCGCCACCCCCAAGTTTTCAAGAGCATCGGTGTTAAACCCCCAAGAGGAATTCTGCTGTACGGGCCACCCGGTACCGGAAAGACATTGATTGCAAGAGCTATTGCTAATGAAACTGGTGCTTTTTTCTTCTGCATTAATGGACCCGAGATTATGTCCAAGATGACAGGGGAGAGTGAGGGGAACTTGAGAAAAGCATTCGAGGAAGCGGAAGCTAATGCTCCTTCGATCATATTCATTGATGAAATTGATTCCATTGCTCCTAAACGTGAGAAAGCACACGGAGAAGTAGAGAGAAGGATTGTCTCTCAGCTGTTGACTCTCATGGATGGGTTGAAAGCTCGGGCTCATGTCATTGTGATTGGAGCTACCAACAGGCCTAACAGCATTGACCCTGCATTGAGAAGGTTTGGAAGATTTGATAGGGAGATTGACATAGGTGTTCCCGATGAAGTTGGCCGCCTTGAGGTTCTTCACATCCATACGAAGAACATGAGAATCTCTGAAGATGTAGATTTAGAGAGGATAGCAAAGGATACTCATGGATATGTTGGGGCTGATCTTACTTCTCTCTGCACGGAAGCTGCAATGCAATGCATTAGGGAGAAGTTATCATTGTTCGACCTAGAAGATGAGATTATTGATGCTGAAATTCTGAATTCCATGGCTGTAACTGATCAACACTTCAAGACTGCTCTTGGAACAAGCAATCCTTCTGCATTGCGTGAAACAGTGGTTGAAGTACCTAATGTCACCTGGGCCGATATTGGTGGCCTTGAGTCAGTCAAACGAGAGCTTCAAGAAACTGTTCAATATCCTGTGGAGCATCCTGAAAAGTTTGAAAAGTTTGGAATGTCTCCTTCCAGAGGAGTTCTGTTCTATGGTCCTCCTGGTTGCGGAAAAACACTGCTGGCCGAGGCTATCGCTAATGAGTGTCAAGCAAATTTCATCAGCATCAAGGGTCCTGAACTGCTTACCATGTGGTTTGGAGAGAGTGAGGCCAATGTCAGGGAGATATTCGACAAGGCTCGCCAATCCGCCCCATGTGTCCTCTTCTTTGACGAACTAGACTCCATTGCTGTACAAAGAGGAAGCAGAATAGGAGACGCTGGGGGTGCTTCTGACAGAGTTTTGAACCAGCTTTTGACTGAAATGGATGGATTAACAGCTAAAAAAAATGTGTTTATAATCGGCGCAACCAACAGGCCCGACATCATTGACTCAGCACTCTTGAGGCCAGGCCGTCTTGATCAGCTCATTTTCATTCCACTTCCGGATGAAACTTCAAGACTGCAGATATTCAAATCATGTCTGCGAAAGTCACCCGTCTCAAATCACGTGGACTTTGAATCTCTTGCAAAGATTACAGAAGGATTTAGTGGCGCTGATATCACAGAAATCTGCCAACGTGCTTGCAAATATGCCATAAGAGAGGACATTGAAAAGGATATTGAAAGGGAGAAGAACAGGAATGGTGAAGCCATGGATGAGGATGTGAATGAGGTACCCGAAATCAAGGTTTCTCACTTTGAGGAGGCTCTGAAGTTTGCCAGGAGGAGTGTGAGTGATGCCGATGTGCTTAGATATAGTGAATTTGCTCAAAGGTTGCAAGAATCAAGAGGATTTGGATTTTGAAGGACTGAAATCATCATAAACAAAACTGTCATCGGAGATTAAAAGGAAAATTACACAAACTATAAGTTGGTTGTATTAAATTGCTATCTTTACTTTCGACTATGGTTACAATTTCGTTTATTGTACTCTTTTACATAATAAAAAACAAATATTTCAGAAAGAAAAGTTTATTTATTATTTACAGAGATCTATTTACAGAAAAGAATACAAATATTTTTGTTAGGAAATAAATGGGTTAACAAGACTTTGAGACATGAAATTCAAGTTCTTTTATAGAGTGTTTTGGTTTTTTTCTAACTTTTACTTGAAAAAGTTCTTCGCATGATAAACAGAGTGGTAACACTCTATTCTATAAATGGAGCACCATTGGAATGTATTGTGTTCAACTTTCAGCTCCCTTCCCCCAAACCTTATTAAAAATATGTAATGATAATAATAGGTAATTACCCTTGTTCAAAACCTTTGCTTGAAAAAAAAAAAACCATTCTCATAATATAAAAGAGTTCAATTAACTTTCAGTTAAGGCCTCCAAGAGTATCATTAATTTACTGTTTTCAAGAGTTTGGTTTACAGTTTCCTCAAACAAATATTCTTGTAATTCAAATTGAATATGTAATGTGAGATGAGTTTTTTTTTTTTTTTTTTAATTCATTTTAAGGCATAAATTAAAGATATATTTTTCACGTTACTCTTTTATTTTAGAATAATACTCATTTTTTTATTTTATTTATAAATTAGAAATTTAAAGAAAGTTTATATTTTTACTTATATTATCTTTTTAAAAAATAAAGATAAAGAGATTTTCTTTTACTCTATAATAAGATAGATAATTAAAGTTAATAAATAATAACAAAGTTAAACATTAAAAGAAAATGTTGTCTCCTTTAAAAACAATTATTAATCTAACATAAATTCTAAATTTCATCCATTATTCTAAAACAAAGAGAGTAATTAAAATTAAAAAAATAAAAATTGATTTTTATTTAATTAATTGTCTAATTAAAATGAGGTAATGAAATTAATGTTGACTTTTATTATTTTTAATACTAATTTTTTTTTCGATAAAAATGAAACAAGACTAAACTAATGCCAGGGACAAAACAAATAAAAGCAAAACAATAAGAAAAAAAAAAAAAAGACAAGATAAAAAGGAAAAAGAGAGAAAAAAGAGAGAGAGTAATCCCAAATGTTAAGAAATCAGAAAGAAACCCACCACCCAAACCCTAATATATACTAGTTAATGTTAAACAGGCATATTAATTACACTCACAAGTTAGGAAAATACTTAAAATTTCAGTAGTTGCTTACCTGTTCTTATTATTAATAAAGGGAAAATATTTATGAGCCATCATAAATACAAATTGTTTTTTTTTTTTCGGTACATCAGTGAGAAAGCTAAGAAACAGCAAAACTAGAGTCTGAGGGAACTAGCCCCCATCTGATCCCCTAAAAGGATAGGTCGAAGACCAGTCGGTGGTGAGTCTAAGATACTTAAGCCTGGGGGTGATGTGTGTCCAAGGGAAGCAAGAAAATCAGCTGCAGCATTCCCTTCCCGTAAGACGTGTTGCAACATGCAAGATTCAAACTGTGCCATCAAGTCCCTAATATCTGACAGGAGTGCAGCAGCTAGATTATCTGGCTCTCTTCTCTCATTGACAAACCGAACAGCCATAAGAGAATCCATCTCAGCAATCACTCTAGTGAACCCCAGCTCACGGCATAAACGTAGTCCTGCTCTCATTCCCCAAAGCTCAGCTATAAAGATAGAAGCATGCCCAATATTGACTGTGAATCCTATGAGCCAATTCCCTAATGAATCCCGAATTAGGCCCCCGGCGCTAGCAGCTTTCTCAACACTGCTATAGGATCCATCCGAATTCAACTTGCAAAAGCCCTCCGCAGGTGGTATCCAACGAATCCAGCGTGGTAGTTGCGGCTTTGCATGGCACAGAGGATTCTTCGCTAGTTCTGTATAATTAGCATGTTGTATAATCGTAGAACATAGATCCTGTGGTCTTGATCTAACAGCTCTGAATACAAGGGCATTTCTGTCCTTCCAAAGGAACCAAATCGCTGAGAGGAACAAAGCCGCCTTAGGTCGGCTGGAGTTGGAAGGAGTTCGAAACTGCACTGAGCAGTTTTTGAGCCACTCAGGAAACGGTAGTGAAAAGAAAGCCGGTCTTGCAAAACCAAGGAGGCCCCAGATTATCTTAGCAAAGTAACAGTCCCTTAGCAGATGGAGGTGCGTTTCCACAGAACAATCATAAATACAAATTGTGAGGTCTCCATTACGTGCATTCTCTTATGTGGCTTAAGTGGTCACGTTTCTCCATATAAAAATAAGATGAAACGCAACACATAATCATTAAGTTGACTTTTCAATCGATATTTGAACAAGTACTAATTTACTAATCATATTTCTTACAATTAAAAAAAAAAAAGATGTCGTTCCCCCAAAAAAAAAAAAAACACTTAACCACCATCTCATAACACTTCTAACAACGCTGTTTTAATACAAATTATATCCCTAATGTATCCCTATAAGTACAAGTTCACATATTTTGCATTCTCCACCATCTCATATTTGCTCATCTGATTTTAATCGGAACGATAACACATGGCAAAGGCAGCTTTCTTCCTCGTCTTCTTGATCATTGCATCTCGTTAGTATAATATATATCTCTCTCTATTTTATAGATGTTAATTACTCTTTAGACCTTATAATACATTATGTCTGAAATGACAATGTGGCAATTTTGTTATTGATTTTCAGCTATGTCACACTTGATGGTAGCTGAAGGCCAGGAGGTATTGCATTGTCACCGTGACATTGACTGTCTTAGTTGTCCACAGGGTGGCTTCTGTGATATGGAAGTTGGCATCTGTAATTGCCTGCCGCTGAAGCCACACCCGCCACCGGAAGCTGGAAAGACATACCACCAAGGTGCCCCACCATCTTAACTAAAACATATCAAGAGCAATGGTGCTTAAGTTTGCTTTTCCTTTTGGTCAAAATGTCTTTTTTTAATTATAAGGCTCTTAACATTTTCACATCAAATGATTTGAGTAGTCAACAAGAAGCAAGTTTTTTTTCTCTATATTAGAAAAGTGAAAATTAGGTTTATTTTCCATAATATTAATTTTTAGATAAAGAAATTTACTGATTGTGAAAATATCTCTCCAATTTAAGAAAATAGGTTTTGCGGTTCAAATAGCAAAACTGCAAACTCTTCAAATTTTTATTGTAGAACCAACTTCTGTTCATTGGTAGAGATGAAGAGGTTGTAATATGGTATCAATATCTAAGGAAAAATATTCTCTATATGAGCATTTAAAAGTTAAATTTGCTACATCAGATTCCTGGATATATATGACCAAAAGTAGTCTTACCATCTTAAAAGGGGTTTTTTTTGGATCTTTTGATTTTAATGAAATTACTTGCATGTGAAAAAATTACTAGCAAATTTGCTATATGAGAAAACAATGTCCAATTTGTTTTATCATTACACAATGTCTAAAATTTATCAAACATAAAAATACAAATAATTAAGAGCATTGTGAATCAACAATTATGTTTATTTGCTTCCAAACCTAATTGAGCTCACCTTTTATGTGATAGCATACGATTTTATATTATATTCTTAATTGAGCCCAGCCATTTTAGTTTACATTGTATCAACAATTCAAGCTAAAAAGATTCCAAAACATCTTTAATAAATTTATATAGAGAATATTTATTAATGAGTTTTGAATTGAGAGGTGTGAAAGACAATAGTGAGACATGGTTTTTTTTTTTTTTTTTTAATTTAATAGTTCAGATATTTTTGAATCAGTTTATACACACTTTAAAATTAAAAAGGCTAATCCAATAAAAAGTAAATTATTCACATTAGGATTAAAGAATTTACAAAGAATTATTTTTTCATTAATTTTCTCAATTAGTAAAGAGTAAACTATTTTATCAATTAAACCATAATTTAGCTTATTGGGTAATAGAAAAAAGGGATATGAAGAAGCAATGGAGCCTCTTAACCAAGGTTGTCAAAATCGAGATTTTACCTAAAATCGTTTTGGTTAGGTGAAATCGGAATCGTAAAATCGAATCGGTAAAATCGAGATTTTACAAAATTTAAT